TTTCACTATACAGACGGTTACATAAAGCTCGTCACCCACAACTCATAAAACCACAAAAGAAAATACGTCCAGCCTTGCTTTTAAATGGGCTTCAGTGCTGGTTGAATTAATAAGTCTTCTTTATTTCTAAAACTGATAGAATTCATTTTGATTCCATGATTAAAACGAAAAGGAAAAATTTAGCAATAATGGGGTTTTTTTAAATTGTTTTTCCACTGCACTCACAAAAACTACTATTTATAAATCCTTTTCACTGTAAATAAAACAAGGAAAGAATCAACACCAAAACCCTTTCTACTCATTAAGACACAGAAAATTATAACATTATACTCTACAAATAAACAATAAGATTAAAAACCCATCCACACAAACACACCTGAAAGTAGGATGCTAGTTATTCCAATAGTTGCAGTTTTCACAAAAAAGGGGAATAAAAAGTTGCACTTACTTGAATAATGACTTGGTTCTTTCTTTATCTCTTTCTTTGACTTTCTCCCTCCATCTAATTGGAAGAGTGGACACAGAACTTCTTCAACTAACCTGAGAGGAAAGAGGTGAGAAGAAGGACCACCACTAGAAAGGAGGAGAGTGATAAAGTCTGCTCCTACTTAAGGAAAATCCCCCCACCCCCACGCCCTTTACCAAATCTTATGGTCCCACTCTCTCAACCACCATGAAAAATATTTGTATTGGACTTACAAAAAGGCATGGTATTTTACACTGGTTTCTGTATCTAACATGACAAGTTACTCTGTTTTATTTGCTTGCACAAAGAAAGCACATGTTTGCTTCTTATAGCTGAAAATCCACTGTTGATTCAAGATGACTTCATTTAGTTTGTCTCAACAACACACTGAATTGTTGAACACAGCAACTGAATTGCTGAATTGTTTAAAACAATCAAATAAATCTTATCTATTTAATTTAAAATTATTATGACTCAGCTTTGCAGATTGTATAGCAGTTATTTCACAAATGTCTGTCACATGTAACTTGCCTTATCCCAAAGACTGCTGCTAGCAGCACACAGTTTTTGGCTGAATAAAGCCCCGGTGTGAGAATCATGATTCATCTGGAATACATAACACTGTGGGCATTCAGAGCAGACTCTGGGGGACAGGACCCTCTCTCTATATGAATCGGCTGTTTGTTGGAAGTAATGAGATGTAACTACGTGGGAGTTATGTAAGTGACCAAATATCCAGCAGATTTAAGGAATCCTCTGTGGATGCATTGCATCTCAGACAAGATGGCCACCCACCAACCCACCTTTTGTAAACCACATGAAGACAAGTAGGCTATATCAAGGGTGTAGAGCAAACAAGGTATGTAAGTGACATTCATCTAAATGTACAAGAGAGCATATAGGTTAAGACACTGCGCTAACATAAGAAACATAAGAGGTAAGAAACTATGGGTGATACAGAAGAAGCGTGTTTTCTTTTACTTTCACGTCTGCTCAATCCATATATGTTACAGTGTGTGTGTCTGTGTGTGTAAAACGTCAGTTATTCAGCTTTTGTTATTTCATACTTTTGTTGCAAATATCTTGACGTAGCTAGGTTTTTCTTGGTAGACACAACAAGCAACTTACAATACAATGTTGTGGTATTGGAATGTCAATGACAAGCAGATAGTAAATGTATAAAAATCGACAATAATTGCATATTGAATTATGGGGATTCCAGGCCGGCGGGAGTGCAACATTAACAGCTGATGCTGCACAGCAAAGCTGCTGGCGTCACATGCTTTCTTAAAAATGGCATACAGTGTAACAAGTACTACTGTTAAATTACGGAAAACTGCCGGCAACAAAAAGGTTATTGTGCAGTTATTTTTACAGTGTACCTAATGTAATGTAAACTGCAGCAATAGTTTCTTTTAAAAAAAATATATAACAGTATATTATATAGGTTTTACACTATACCAGTGTCTGCTGCTTGGCTTTCATTGTACCTTCATATTAGAGTACCCACTGTATTCTACATAAACTGTTTTGTATCATCAGTTCTTTATATTAACTTTAAAAATGGATTTCTTGCTAAATGTGCAAAAGTACGCAGAAATAAAGTATATGAGGCAAAAACAGAGTTTGCATAATTCTAACAAGCTTGAAAGTCAATACTTATCAATGCAGTGTTGCAGTCCAGACTGTGGGGAGGCCAGCCCATCACTGAGCTCTATTGTGTGTTTTTTCTTTCTCGGTAACACTGGTTCAATCCCTACACACAGTTTTGTATCCACACGCAACATAACATAATTCCTCATCTTAAAAAAACAGTATAAAGTTGCATAGCCTTGAGTACATTGATTTCCGTGTCTTTGTTGACCCTTGAGACAAAAACAGCTTATAGCAATTCAAACAACTGCCCTGAAGATAGACACTGTAGAACAGGCATTGGGTTTGCTGGTTTTAGTGTAGCTTTCCTTTTGCTTGGAAATGTTTAGTTGTAGTTTAGTTTTTATTTAGTTTTAGTGTTTTTGAGTAGCATTTTATTTAGATATAATATGCCAGAGGAAACATTTAGGTAACTCAGTTGAGATACTCCCTCTATATTTTCATTTTATTTTAGTTCGTTTTCCAAGTTAACAAAATGATTAAACTTCTTTTTTTTTTTTTTTTCAAAAGTCTTGTTTTTATTTTAATTTTAGTAACTTTAGTGTAACCTGAGACTTGACTTTATAAAAAAATGATGTGGCTCAGAGACTTTATAGAGTGAGACTCAAGTCTAAACAAGAGAGCGCAACTCCCCCCAAATGCCATGGACTATACGTAAAGTTCAATGTTTAATGATTTTTCTTTTTACAACATGTTGTCATCAGCTGCTTTTATAACAGCACTCTCATGTCTGACCTTTGACCTATGACCTTAGATACTAAAACTGTGTATTTAATTATTTTCTTTACCCTCATGATTGGAGCAGACATGGCTGAAATCTTTGGCTTCTATAAGCTGTAAAAACCGAGATAAGATATATTCATGTAGTGTTTGAGTTTGTAACACTTTATGGTGTGATTGTAGCGCCGTGGGGCATCCCTGAAAAACTTTGAAGTCTGTTCTTTTAATGCCCTTTCATATGATATATTACTCAATAACACATTATTATTACTCGATACTCAATATAAACAGACAGACGAACAAACAGAAGCATACTTGCGCCCTGCCTTTGGGAGGAGAAAGCTATAAGACTGAACAGCAGCAGTCTTCTGAGGCATTCGGATCTATGGAATTGAGTTATATTAACACCACTGTGTGTTTTTACAGCTGTAATTGTTAAATTGTAGCTTCTTTTGTTAGATTACAAAAATGTAATCACATAACCTAAAGGGCAAGGATACAGTCAAAACAATTAACATGTAGTGTGGGAAAGCCAGGAATGGTTACACTGCATGTATAAGTATACAAGCAAGGCTACACATGCATATACACATTTACCTAATTAACTGGTTTCTATGAGCCATTTTACAGATACATACACACTTTCCTGTCTGTCTATAAATTAATCTCTGAGTCACAGAAGTCAAATAAACCAGTAACAAAGTAATGGGAAAGTCAGGTATATTCTTTTTCAGATGCGTATGTTGATTTGAAAACTGAAACTGAAGAAGCTGAGTGGTATTCCCCTATCCACCTTCTGTGGCAAAGTTTTATCCTGTTAACAGAACAAATCATGCTAAACAAAGTGAAAAACAAAAAGACAGCGCAGCATGGACTGCTAAGTGGGGGGTCCCGCTTTATCTTGCGGCACCGTCCTGAAACACCTGTGCCTTTTACGCCGCTCGACATCGTAGACCACCCTCAAACTGCTGACCCTCTCTTGGCCTTTGGAAAAAAAAATGGTTATAGACGTGCCATCAACACCTATGGCAAATGCACACCTGAGAAAATACACCTGATTATATGAGCACACTTCAAATTTCCCCCAGAGCTGTTCCCAGATGTTGCTCAAGCACATTTCATAGGCCAGAGCAGGTCAGATTGTACTTGGAATGGAAAATGTACATTTACAGTAAATCCCTTTGGGCAATACACAAATCTACCAAAAATAAACACTTTATTTTTCAACTGCACTTCAATCAGTTGTTGTTGTGAGAATAACTTATTGCGTTGCGTAAATCAAGTGTTCTTTGGTTTACGTCATTATACGAAAACTCATGTCGAAACTGTTCGGTCACGACAAGCCACTGCTTACTTCGACGAGAAAAAAAACACCATCTTTTTAAAATGTGTTGTTGGCAGCTCACAGCACACCAAAGCAATCTCGAGATGAAAATATGCGATGCTGAAGTCAGACTATTTATTTAACTTTTATTGGTTCAGATTTAATGAAATGTCTAATGGTGAGGCTGAAACAGTGCGCACATTGATCTGGTTGTGATTGAAGTTATGGTCAGTGCGCTGTGTTGCTTACATTGGACCTGGACTCAGAGATTAGAATAATATAAGCACATAAGCCTTTGCTTGTTCTCAGCCACTTCACCGTGCACCCCGGCACCTCTGGTTTTCTCCCCGCCCCTCTGCATTACCTGCAAGTTATATAACTGCACAGAGTACCCCATGTTGCATTTGTGTAATATGACCACATTTTAGGGACTACAGATCAAATTTAATGCTTGTGAAGAGATGATTGAACCATATCTTGTCAGTGTGCAAATCCATGAGCAGCAATGGACTCGTGCACTAAAAGTCACCCCCTCCTCCCCTTTTTTCCTCAACCTGCAGATGTTATATCGGGAGGGGGTGACTGGAATTACACTGAGTACAGAGACCCCTCTCAGAGCCTTTGCTGCAGTAAAAAGAAGAAAAAAAACAACATAAAAACAAATATATTCGACAGAAACCTAAATCAAACCACACTGAATCACACTTCTGGGAAAAAATGTGAAAGTGCAGACATACATGTTTGGGCCCACTGTGTTTCTTTTTACCCAGTTGCTTCTGTTTCATTTTAAGTTATAAAATGAATATTATGCAAACAATGACATATTCTCTATAGCATGAAGATGTTTTTATTTTACATGAAACACAGACCGTTGTTTTGCATATGAAAGATTACATTACAAAGTGATGGAGTCACACTCAGTATGTCTACCAATGTCTTACTGTACTTACTGTATATGTTTCAAGGTTTTATCATTTTGATTTATAGGTAGCTAGATAGATGCAGAGCATACATGTATAGCTATGTACTGTGACGTGGTAGTAGAATAAGCCAAAAAGTATAAGAAAAACAACAAAAGCTCTAAGCACTCATGCTAATCGTGTATCTGATGGGAAAGTCGTTTAATCAAGCTCCATTAAAATGAAGCAGTTTGTTTCACTGTCTGCAGCCATCTATCATGTACTCTTGTACAAAGTCATTAAAATGCCTACAAGACTTTCTATTAGCACTTTTACTACATTCTTCTGAAGGCTTTTTTTCAACCCACGTGTTTGATTCCAGCAGATACTGCATCCTATAAAAAGAAGAAAGCAATGAAGAGAGAATCGTTCTCTGAAATCTTTCCTTAATATCCCTGATATACTTACATTCCACTTGTATCTTTTGTGGTGCCATCTTTGCCCATGATGAGATACTGTTTTCCCATGTCTAGTTTTCCTTTGCAGTGAACCCTCTTAGCAAACACTCGGACAGAGTTCTTACTCACCAACATATCGTTATCTAGTAGAAGGATTATAATTATTATATTTAAAGAAAGTCTTCAAATAAACATAATGAAAGGCAACAATAGTTCACTTACTCGATTTGAGAACCTCAATTATAAGAGTGGTGTACAACTCAAAGTTACTCTTCACAGAAATACTGGAGACCTCAACGATGTATGCTGGAATACAAAACAAATAAAGAATTAATGCAGTGATTAACACCCCCAAAAATGCTAACAAGCTAACTAGCAAACAGTAAATATTTGATGCTTTTCACGTAAATGTCTTGTTTAGAATACTGACCGTAATCTACGATAGGGAAGGAGCAAGCATGTTGGACACGGGTAACCTTCAAAATTTTTTGTCTTGGATCAAATGTTTTTTGTAGGGTATGACAGGGTCCTATAAAAAGATTTTTAAAAAGTCAAGACACTTACATTTTTTTGATTGTTTTTTACACAAAATTACATAAAATTAAAAACAGACATGTTTCTGTTATGGAAGTCCCAGCATGGACTCAGGATCACTTTTCTGTGAATACAGCTGTTGGCTTCATCAAAGTCATATATTAGCACATCTCGAAAGGCACCCTCAATTCTGAAAGGTCTGTATGCATTGCAGAGCAACATATGCTGCTATCCAGGCAATATATATCAGGGAAGGTCTTGCATATTTCAGCACGACAATGTAAAACCATACAAAGCATCAAGTTAAGAAACATGATATTTTAGTAACGAGCCTGGGTGCTCAACTAGTCTGCCTGTAGTCCAGACCTCTGCCCAAGTGAAAACATTTGGTGCTTGACAAAATGTAAAATATGACAAAAAAGACCCACAAGTGTCGAGCATCTCGAGTCCTGTATCAAACAAGAATTGGACAACATTCATCTCCCAAAAGTCCAGCGCTATTTCAGACATATACAGAAATTTACAGACTTTTGTTTTTTGAGATGCGTTGCTGCCTTTCAATTAAAAATGGGCTATTTTTTTAAAAACATTTTAAGCAGTTTAAACATTTAATATCTTTTCAGTTTTATTTTGAATAAAATATGACTTTATGAAATCTGAAAATCACTGCATTCAGTTTTAATTTTAATTTTAGACGGCCGTTTTAGATTTGGGGGTGTCATTGTAGTGTACTAAAAAATTTTTGTACTTTCTGCGCATTCGCACACGTCCTCTGAACACAGTTTGGATACCATCTTGCTTCTTTGTGGTGCAGCGTAGAACACAGTACACTTTCTGTCTGTAAGAAAAACACATAGTACTATTTATGAAGTCCTATTCAATAAAAGAGATCGCATATGTGTTTGTATAAAGAGAGAAAGAAAGAACGACAGTCTTACCTGGTTCATAATAATCATAGAATGTGGCTGGAGCAGGCTGTAGAAGCCCAACTGGTACCAGTTGTTTAGCTTCAAAACTAATACATTCCTCATCCTCTTTCACCTTCACAGAGATAAAAAAGTAAATCTAACATTTGACAAGCACATTTATTTTCCATAACCTGAATTCATCCATACCTCGTTGAAGTAAATCAGAAGTCTTCCAAAATACGTCTCATAATGGTCAATGTAATGTTCAGGTGAATCTTTTAACTGGGGAAAAAAAGAATTAAACAATTTTGCATTTTAGCAGAAAAAAAGAATCTTCTGAAGTTTCAGTGTGAGTACAGGTCATTCCAGTTTCACATGTAACTTTTATCATAATATTTTTGATGTGCTCTTTGAAACCACAAAATATTTTTTTCTTGAGTTAAATGAGATTTCTGTATGTTAAATATAGCTAACTTAAAATAACTTCACACATAGATAAAGAAAAGATCTAAAGACTAAATACATTTTTTTCACAAGTTTTCTCTCTTTAACAGAGAAAACTAAAGGCTTGTATTTGTTTACTGTAAATTTGCAAAAACATCTTATTAAGGTTATCAATTGTGTTTTTAAACTTAGCACAAAAAGTAAGATCATTTGTGTTTGGTCAGTTTTTTCTTTGTTGTAACAATACTTCTTGACAAGAAATCTTATACTGCCAGAAAGCCTGTGTTTTACCCTTAAATGGCGCCACATTTGTAAGCAAAATATATATGTATAGTTCTGTGTAAATAATCATTCTGTACATATGATAATTTTTAATCCTAAAACTGTTTATAACCTGCATAGTTCACATTTCTGTATAACTGTATACCTCAGATTTCTGTATAGTTTTTTTTATTTCATATTTATATCCTGTTCATAGCCTGTACATAATTATAGTTATAGAATATTCATAACATACTTCATACCGTGTACATTATAACATACCCATAATAGACCCATTTCTTTAATATACTTACATATCTATATTATTGCTAATATATATTGTAATATATCTATATCATGGCTAAAGCAAACTGCATTTCATTGCCCTGTACCTGTGACATGTGCAATGACAATAAAGTTGAATTCTATTCTATTCTATTCTATTCTATTCTATTCTATTCTATTCTATTCTATTCTATTCTAAAATGCCTTATGGGTTAAGCATCACAGTTGAGTATGTGGGTTGCTCTGCCAATGCCAAACAGCTTATACTCCTGTTGACTCTTGTTTGGTGTTGTTTATTGGATTGAGTGATTGAAGTGTGAAGCAACAAGACATGTTTGCATCTTAATTCATTTGTTTCACAAATATGGGCTCCAGCACCATGTGGAAGAACCATACACAGCTATAAAAGCCTGGCACCTCGTCCTCATGTTGGTCAGCAGCCCGGTTACACACTGCTGTGGAATGATTTCATGTTCTCACGCTGAAAACGCCAGCTGATAACCACCTTTTATGTAACCACTAAGTCTGATTACTAATGTTAGTTTCCTGAGTATGACAAACTTACTTGGAAGCAGTATAATGCAGTTTATACAGGATCGAACCTTCCATATAGGCTTCTTGTCTTATTTTATGTTTATTTTTTACATTTTTGTAATTTCTAATTATCAGAATGACACCCCAGCACTTGTATTTATGTCACAGTGCAACTCTGACAAATATTGCCTCAAAGAATGTTAAAATGAAGCACACCACGTGCAATTCCCCTTCAGCGTAAATAATTGCTGTGGCATCGAGATTTGCACATGTCTAGAAAATCTTCTCTTACTTTGTAATGGGAGTAATGGTGAAGAATACCAACCTTATCCAGGTCCTCTGTTTTAGCCTCAAATCCACTCAATAATGTAATATCGGCAATGGCCATTCCTGTAAGATTCCTCTTCTTACTATGACCATGAATACAAAAAACAAAAGGACATTGAGAAAGACATTGATCAGGAAATGATTTTTTTGGTTGTTTGTTTTTTGAACTGCACAGCTCATACTCTGAATTCATATTCATGAAAAGTAAATATGAATTTACTGGATCTCATTTAACTAACCTGACACAGACAGTGTAGGTAACAGCCTCATTTGGACTGAAGTTATTATCAATCTCTCTCCTGTATCGGGTGTGAGCATCAGACCCCTCAATGGCTGTTCGTCCCAGGTCTTCCTGGTCTTGTTTCGCATCATCGTAGTCATAGTATTCATAATTTTCTAATATCGGAGCTAGATAAGCAAAGATTAATGTAAGTGTATGCCTTTTATCAGTAGTTGTGATTTGTTAGCATTTACAAATCTCACCAGTGTACTTCACTTTCCCCTCCACTCTGACACTGATAGACACCTGGTCACATTCATCCTTGGGTTCCAATAAATGGTAAGCCTTAACAATCTACAAGGGACATTTAGAGTCAATTATAGATCTGATTGATAATATACAAATCAAAGATGTGAATCCAACATACTTTAAGCTTAATTTCTCCTTTTCCAGTCAGATGCACGGTGATGTTGTTCCCTGTAAATTTCTAGGACAACGCAAAAAAATTAAATTAAATTAAATTAAATTAGAATGAGGTTTAATATCATATAGATATGTCTGAGTGCATTGCTTTATGATACCTTCAGGCTGGTCTCTACTTTTTCCTTCTTATTTTCTAGTTGAAGTGTTACAATTTCATTCCTTCCAGCGGATGTGAAATCTGCTTTCAGTTTTGGTTCTGGACTGGGAGGCTTTTTTAACTCGTACTCTGCGAGGGCTTCCAGGGCCATGAGGGTATCCTGGGAATGGTAAGAATTCTTATTAATATAATGGTTGACATGTCTTCCCTGACAGTGAATAAATGGTGTTAAACAACAGGGGAAACAGGAGTTCCACACAAAGATGGATTCTCCAGCTGTAGCCTAATCACCTGTGTTGACTTGAAGCCTCCATAATAGTTTTCTCTGGAGTTTAACCAACAGGCTGCTCTCTCTGCCCAGTTTATATGCCCAAGCTGAACAGCAGTTAGAAGGACGTAGGCTGTCGTCTCTATTGTGATAGCATCCAGCTTTGGGCTGTCATTAACTGCCCAAAAATAGCAGTCATTCGTTCCTAATAAAAAAAACAAAACAGAATAATTATACAAAAATTAGACATTATATGATAATATAGGAAGAGACAGCACATATAATTTGGTCATAGTAATAGATTATTGTATGTATAGTGCCCACACTCATTTGCTTGTACTGCACATACCTTTAATAGCCGCTGCTTCCACTTTTTTCCATATATGTGAATGATCTGTTGTATTTGGCATGCACACTGAGAGGCAATAGGCTGTAATGGCGACAGCATAGGGATGCTGCAGCTCCACTGCGAGTGACTGGAGATATGATGTTGAAGAGGAAATACTTGGTCTCTGGAAGAGAATAACATGAAGGTGGTGAATTATTTTTTGCTCATATTTGTTGTGAATTATGGGCTAACTGTGGCAAATAAAAATTAACAATTCTCAATGTAGCATCAATTATTTTGTGTCCCCGAACCTGATGAATGTCCTGTTTTTATCTAAATAGCAACAGTAATGCTAATATATAGAACGTTTTTCACAGGACTCCCTGCAGGTGAAACACTAAGTACATCCTGACACCTTTCATAGGAATTAGGAAGGTAAGTAGCAACCTAGTGCTTCTAATTAAATGCACCGGAATAACTGATCATTTGTGAGCGTGCTCACCACTACAAAAGCAGGAAATTTGGCATATGCTTTGGTTATTTTTCTCTTTTGTGTAATATTCCATTAGAGTTTATCATTTAAATGCTGTCTGGTCTGCAGTCTGGACTCAGATACCAGACTGACTACAATTACCCACTTGTAGTCAAAATTACTCAAAACTAGTAAAAACAGTACAGTTGGTTTTTAATATCACCACTCACCACTTTATTTTGCATATCAGACTGGAGAAATTCAACGGACCGGTACAGTGCAAGAGTTATGAAAGCAGTCACTGATGCATCTTGGTCTTTGTCTATCTAGATAAAACACACAGATACAAAGTTGCACTCAGATCACTGTATTTTGGTTTGTTGTATTTAGATCTAAATGGGAGATAAATTAAAGGAAAAGAATGAACATTATAAAATGCAGTGCATTGGCCCATCACATGCTGCCAGAACAGCTTTAATGTAACTTGGCATTGACTCGACCAGTGTCTGGAGCTCTGATAGTAAAATAGTATGTTCTTCTTCCAAAAATATTCCCTTCTTTTTGTGTTTTAGTTAGATTTAAAGATGATGACTATTGCAAAGAAACCGCTGCCATCAGGATGGAAATGGGCCAACCAAGGCTTTATAACTTTTCCTTTAATTTGTCATCTGTTTATACCCCTAATGTTCTAATTAGGGGTGCAACGATATACAAAATTCAGGGTTCGGTTCGATACTTTGGTGTCACGGTTTAATATTTTTTCGATACCAAAATTTTTTTATGCTTTTTTAATTTGTCATTTATTAAAATTATAAATATATATTTTAACTCAAAAGTACAGTTTTTAAATTTAATGTTTCTGAAAGAACAAAGTAATAAAAAAATTAATCTATCTGATCGAGAAATCACTCATCTTTGGAAAAGAGAGTTTATTACAGAGAAATGGCTCTTTCCAAAATAAAAGCTATACTATACGCTTCTTCTGGGCTATATTCTCAGCAGCATATTAAACATATCAGGTCCCCATAAGGAG